ACGAGTAAATACTCCGCACTTACTAAGTGCTCCCCATTTTTAATTTTTTTTTTAATTTTTATTGTATTATTTTTACATGTACCGTCAAATCAGATCTAACTGGTACAGGAGAAGAGTGCCTCCTCCTTCTCCAGCAGAGCATCTGGTGAATTTGAACCACGTACCTCTGGGATTGCAGTGCAGCATCTTGCCACTAGGCCACCAGAGCTCCCTCAGTGCTCCCCATTTTACAGACAGCAAACTGAGGCTCAGAGAGGTGAAACAGTTGTCCAAAGTCACAAAACTGGTTAATGTAAGGTCAAAAGAAAATGGTGGTTAATGAATCCATTACAGATAATAAGGTTCATGAACAAAAAACATCTAAAAGAGAGCACGTTTAAGCATTGCCAACCAGGGGTTTTAAAGGTAATTACAATGACTAGGTTTTACAGATGTCCTTAATTGAAGGGAGAGTTTTTGAAAGTGCTGTTTTTCTATCATTGGTTTCTGCCTTTGTTATTGAATACTACTAGAAATACCGTAACCAAAATACCAAATGTGGATGGCTTTAACAAACAGAAATTTATTCTCTCTGATTAGGACCCTGAATTCAAGGTGCAGGAACTAGAAGACTTTCTCTTTGTGTGTCTTCTGGTTCTAGAAATGTCTCAAGGCAGGAACATGAATCAAAAGGGTTTTCAGTCCATTCCCAACTCTTCTTTCTTGGAGACACTGAGGTCCCTCCTTCTCTGTTCATTTATTTATCTTTTTATATCTGCTAAGATAAAAGATGGTATAGGCCCCATGCCAGCAGAGTTCCCCTTAAATGGATCAGGGTTCTGAGGAACTAAAGATGTTGCATCCTACCCATAATCCTCTAACCATTGATCTCCTTTTTTACATCATGGGGATTAATTAATAACTGTTATACTACACTATCACATCCAAAACACTGAGAATCATGGCCTAAATGCATGTCTTGGTGGGACACAACTCCATCAATGACAGTTTCATAAATAATCATTTTCAGGCGAGACTTGATTGTAGAATGGGTGAGTCAGAAACATTCTTGAGTCTCAACTTGTTTCATTTGGAAAGTTTCTATGATTAGAGCACTTTTTTTAAAAAAAAGAATTTTTTATTTATTTTATTAATTTTAATGAACATTTACAGAGATTTTGGATTTGAAGTACAATATTGTCAGTGACAGGATAATATCTATACGCATACAAGGAAGTCCAGTGAATACCACTATCATTCAAATATATGTACCAACAACCAGAGCCAAGAAAGAGGAGATAGAAGATTTTTACCAACTTTTACAATCGGAGATTGATCGAACATGCAATCAAGATGCATTGATAATAATGGGTGACTGAAATGCAAAAGTTGGGAATAAAGAAGAAGATTCAGTAGTTGGAAAACATGGACTCGGTGACAGAAATGGAGCTGGAGAGAGAATGATCAAATTTTGCACAATCAATGACTTATTCATAGCAAATACATTTTTTAAGAGACATAAACGCAGGTTATATACCTGGATTTCACCTGATGGTATGCATAGGAATCAGATCGACTACATCTGTGGAAAGAACCGCTGGAGAAGCTCAATATCAGCTGTGAAAACTAGGCCAGGAGCTGATTGTGGAACAGACCACCAACTACTCATATGCAAATTCAAGCTAAAGCTGAGGAAAATTAAACCAAATACAAGGCAACCCAAATATTACTTTGAGTCTATCCCACCTGAATTTCAGAACCATCTCAGGAACAGGTTTGAGGCTTTGAACACTAATGAACGAAGGCCAGATGAGTTGTGGGAGGATATCAAGGGTATCATCCAGGGAAGAGTGCAAACGGTCATTGCAAAGACAGAAGAGGAAGAAAAGACCAAAATGGATGTCAGAAGAGACTCTGAAAATCGCACTGGAGCGCAGAGAAGCCAAAGCACAAGGGAGAATTCAAGATACTAAAGAGCTGAATAGAAGATTTCAAAAGGCAGCATGGGATGACAAAGCAAAATATTACAATGAAATGTGCAAGGAGTTGGAGTCAGAAAATCAAAAGGGCCGAATTCGCTCAGCATATCTTAAGCTCAAGGAACTGAAGAACAAATTCAAACCTCGAGTTGCTATAATCAAGGATGCTTTCGGCAGAATGTTAAATGATCCAGGAAGTATTAAAAGATGGAAAGAATATACTGAGTCACTATCGAAAGGAATTGGAAGACACAGAAGAATTTCATGAAACAACATATGAGCAAGAGCCTATGGTCCTTCGCACTAGCAGTCAAGAAACCCAAAGATGTGTTGCATTGGGAAAATCTCCTGTCAAGGGCTCCTTTAGGAGTTGTGGTGTTGGAGAAGAGTACTATATCATGGAATACCAAAAGAACAAATATGTCTTTCAGAAAGTGCAACCAGAGTACTCCTTAGAGGCAAGATGGTGACTTTGTCTCACATATTTTGGGCATGTTGTTATGAGGGGCTGGCTAGTTCTTGGAAAAGGACACAGTTTAACAACAATGGTTTCTTTTTTTATGTATATCTAGCATGATTTCATTTGTGTAAAAAAGAAAAAATAAACATATCTGCAAATGTAAATAAATGTATACAATTGCATAGACCAAACTTGAACTTTTACCTACACCTTGGGTTAGGAATCTCATCTATAAAGCACTGAAAAGTTTTCGGAATATCTAATTATAGCCATAGAGGTGAGAAAGAAAGCTGATGATCCAAACCAAATTGTTGTAGTCAGTGGTCACTTCTAGAAAGAGGAGAGAAAAGAGTAGAGAATGAAGAACATGAATCAGTATTTTCATATATTACTTTCTGTATGTTTGGAAGCAGAAATAACATCCACTTCCTGAACAACATGCCTCCAGAAACTCTATGAACTTTGATAAATGTCGATAGTTATAGAAAGGCTTCAGGCCTTTTTTTTCCCGTGGGGTCGCTATGAGTTGTGCTCCACTGGAAGGCAATCAACCACAACTTTCTATATGAAGGAGTCCTGGTGCCACAGTGATTAATTGCTCGCTATTTTGTGTGCTAATTAAAAGTTAGGTGGCTCAAACTCACCAGCTATTCATGGCAGAGCTCCCTTAGCAATATCTTTTAAAATCCTAAATCCTTATATCCTTTAACTCACAAATGCTATATATAGGAATTTATCCTGTAGAGATATATGTGCATAATAGGGGTGCTCTAGTAGTGCAGGAAGTTGTGCTATAACACAAATGTCATGGCATCTCAGGCTTCAATATGACTTGCCTTGATGCTAATAATGATCTCTTTTTTTCCTTTTTCCTTAACTTTTTATTATTATTTAAGTGAACGTTTATACAGTGAATATATTTTTTATTCAACTATTCATATACATTTTAAAATATTTTTTATTTATATACATTTTGTTTTATAACCTAAATATGTCTAGGAGCACGAGAGGATTTTGGAAAACTTGCCTGACTTCCAAGGAGCAAGGGGAAGCCACTACTCAATGTCAGCTCATTGTTTGTCCCCGGAAGAGGGGAAGCAGGCCAGTGTTCCAATATCTTGGGGTTTGTTGGTTTTGGGGTGGTTTTTTTTTTTCATTTTTTTAAAATTATTTTGTGTGTGTGTGTGTACCATCAAATCAGATCTGACTGGTACAGGAGGAGATTGTCTCTCCTTCTCCAGCAGAGCATCTGGTGGATTCGCACAGTGCACCTCTGGGATTGCAGTACAGCTTCTTGCCACTAGGCCACCAGAGCTTGCCTAGCTTGGTTTTTTTAAAGACAACTCAGAAATCTAGATTTTTATCGAATTATGAAGTGCAGTCAACTCATCCTAACTATAAGGAGGGAAAGGAGAGGAAAGACTGGAGGGAGCGAGGGAGAGCGGAAGAAGGAAAGGATTGGAGGGAGGGAAGGCAGGAGGAAAGGACGGAGGGAGGAGAAAAGGAAAGGAGAAAGGTGGGAGGGAGGCAGAGACCCAGCAAAGCAATGACAGAGTCCAAGGACTACCAGTTTGTGACATTCGCCTTAGTTCAAATCTTTTCCTAACAATTTAAGATAGCCTTATGATCTTACTCTAAGGCATCTCACGTTTGAGTTCAAATGCAGGCATAATTTCCATTGCTCTCCTGGTTCTTTCAGCCTATCCAGAGTTTTTATTGAACACCAAATATGTGCAAAGTATACAATCGCATATTAAAAATGACATATGTTAATTGCATGAAACAGAGCGATAAACCTTCGACTGACAATCGTCCAAATAAATGATGCTGGGGTCTGAGGTACATCTAAATTTCAGCTGTGAGATATATATATATATATATATAATCAAATTATCAAGAGAATTGTTTGTGGAAAAAGAAAATCTGCTGGAGTATCTAGCTTCTACAGTTTACTTCTGACTTGAGACAGTAAATGAGACAGCTGCGAGCTTCAGGCATCATTGCTTGAAATAGTGGAGCTTATGAAAGAATCTCTCGAAGCGAATCATCTTGAAGTCAATTTTTACTTCTGAAGGGCTTCTATCCCCTTAGAGTTCAACTGTGATAGTAAGTGACACCCAAAGGGTAGCATCCTTGTCAGCTGATTAGGTGAGGTGAGAAGTCACTGCAAAAGTGAACGTGATTCAGGTCACCAAACGCTGGTGATTACGGTTTTAATGGGTTACATGGCATCCCGCTTACCACCCAAGATTTGCAACACAGTCGTCATTTGGTTTTTCCTTTCTTAGCTCCCTGGGTACCCATCTCCTCAGCCTATAGGGATTTTTTTTTTTTTTTTATATTGAAGGTACTCCTACTTCCATTTCCACTCTTTATTATGCTCTTAATCAACGTTGAGATTCATGTCGGTTTTCATGTCTCTGTGCCTCTACACAGTCATTCTAGGAGTAGGACACCTCCCTACCCTCTATGCCAAGGCCTAACAATGCCTTAAACGTCCCCTTCCCACTGTGCTGACCACCCCCGCCCTCTACTCATGCCCCCCTTACCCATCCCCTTCCACCCTCCACCGACCAGAAGCCTCAGCCATTCCAGAAATTGACAAAGAAGTTGCAAAGAGAGTGCCACTTCTCAGCACAGTAAGTCTCTGTGAGCTCAGAGTTCTCGTCCAGCCTGTCGAGGTCAGACCGGGTCCCCAAAGGTAGCTCCTTCTCGGGTCCCCAGACCCCTTTCTTCTTGGCCCCTTTGGTCTTCTTCTCAGCGGGGTGCTCTTTGGAGGCCGTGCTGGTGGGAGGAGAGGCTTCTGCGTTTGGACCCGGCACAGGCTCCCTGGGGCGACCCCTGACCCGAGCGCGCGGCTTGGGTTCCTGGGTGGAGGGAATGGGACGCGGCGGCGCGCGGGGAGCAGGGCGCAGCGAGGCGCCGTGGGCCTTCCTGGCCGCGCACAGACGGGCCTGGAGCCGCGCGGGGTCGTGGCAGGGCAGGCGCTTCTTGCGCAGGCGGCCCAGCAGGGCCTTCCAGTAGTGCGCCTCCCGGGCCGCGTAAGCGGCGCAGCTCGCGGCCTCCCAGCGGTGCACACACTGCGAGCGCGCGCCGTCCGGGGCCTGGCAGCTGAGCGCCAGCTCTCCGCCCCGCGCGGCCCCGGGGCCGGGCTCCCGGAGCTGCCAGCTGCACGCCTGCCGCTCGGGGCTGACGAAGCGGCCCGAGGAGGCGCCCGCGGAGTCCCGGGCGACCGGCGCCGCGCGGCTGGCCGCCCCCTGGTTCCTCCGGGCGGCCGCGAGGAGACAGCTGCCCAGTATCAGCAGCGAGAGAGACGCTTGCACCCTTGGATGAGTCATAGGTCTGCCTCCGGGTTTGGCTCTGACCCCTGGAGCGTTAGCGGAAGCAAGGCCAGGCGAGAAGCATTCCACGATCCTGCAGACAGAGGCAGAGACAACCACCAGCTGAGCCGTGCGCAGGCCTTTGGCCAGGCCTTGCACCTGCCAATCTTCCTTCCTCAGACTTTCTACTTTTCCCCAGAGCCAGGAGCCCCTCTAAAGAGCTTTCCCAGGCTAAACCAATTACTGCCTAAATAAGTGTTTGGAACCATGTATGCATTGGAATTTTCTTCCCCCATGCAAATAGAATAGCAAAGCAGTGTTTGATAATTAATTAATAACTTCCACCCCTTCTCCTCTTCACCCTTCAATAAATTATCCACCGGAGCGTTTCAAAGTGTTTCTTAGGGGGGGAAAGTACATTTTTCAAAGCATTACAGCTTTTTAACTTACCGAGTTCTGGGAGAAGTGGTGAAGCCTTCTTAGGACAGAAGGGATGACTGCGTGAGAGATTGGTCTGTTTTAGCGGCTGCTTGTGAATGAACATGTATCAATGGGACAGGAGGGGCCTCCCCACTACGCCCCTCCCAGGATTCTCTAACTCAGAGATTTCCCACCACCCCACTCACTCCCTATGTATATACAATCGTGTTGTATACTTCCACTATTTTAAAAATCTGGTGAATTGTAACAAATTATCCTAATTTTCTTCTATATGTTGAATTGTCGGAAAATAAACTGAAAAGATCTAAGTTTTTAAAATTAAGCAAAATAAAATTAAACAAAAATGATACCATTATAAACCAAGCACTAGCCACACAATTACACAATTTACATTCTTCCTATTTTTCTTATCACTCTGAGTCCAAAATTTCCACTCATTTCTTGCAGTCTTTTTACATTTAGTATTCCTACTAATAAAAACATAATATCTTAGTTCGATAACATACTGATTGTGTTCATCCAGGGGTAGTCATTAGAGGTTTTTAACATTCTATTATTTTTAAATATTACCAATTAACTTTTATCGTCTTACAAAATCATTAGTTTAAGAAGAAATCATTAATTGGGGTATAGCTTCAAGATTATATTACCTATTCAAATGATATAACTTGTATGAATGTACTCTTGGACTATGTCTATTTAACCAGGGAGCCCTATTGGCGTTTGGAAGCAGAAGTGGCATCCACTTTCTAAACAACATGCTTCTTGAAAGTCTATGAATTTTGAGAAACGATGATAGTTATAGAAAGACTTCAGGTATTTTGTCCATAGGGTTGCTATAAATTGTGCTTGACTCTACGGCAATCAACTACAGCTAGTGGCATAGTCCCAAGAGAGTTGTGCTATGAAACCAAAGGCAGCACCTTTCTGATACTTCAAATCCACCGGTGGGTCCGTGGAAGGAAGAAGATGAGACGGCAGCACAACTCCTTACTCCCCGAGCCCTTTTTAAAATGTGAATACATAGTAAAACAAAACTCTCGCTGCTATACAGCTGATTAACACTCCTGGCCCCCCCATGTGTTAGAATAGAACTGTTAAAGTAATTGATTTTTTTTTTTAAAAAAAGTAGAACACCGGGCCTTTCTTCCAAACGCACATCTGAGTGGATGGGAACCTCTGACTTTTCAGTTAGCGAACGAACATTTTAACCTTTTATATATATATATACCTTTTGCATGTGGTGGCCTGCTCTGTATTAGGGAGCCCTGGTAGCCTCATGGTAAGGAGTTGCAATGCCAATCCAAAGCACATGGTTATGGTTGCCTCAAAGGAGAAAAATAAGCAATCTCTTCCCTTGCAATTTACAACCTCTGAAAACCCACCATAAGTCAGTTCCTACTTAATAGTACATAACAACAACAACAGTGTGTAATGTGTTGGGGCACTAACCCAAAGGTCGGCCGTTTGAATCCATATCTACACCATGGGAATAAGATGGACAATCTCCTCTGGCAATAATGTACAGCCTTTCAAACCCAATGGAGGATTGCTGAGCCATAACTGAATTACTGGTTTTTGTTTTAAGTTTTATATTGACTTAAGCTTATTCCACCCTGATGAAACAGGAGAAGTTACATAACAAAAAGGAGAATTCTAGAATACTAAACTGTGCCCATGAGAAACCTAGACTGAGTAACATAGACTGAGAAGTAGTCCTTCAAACAGAATAAAGGGATACTGTATGGTTTAAAGTCAGAAAAAGTGTATATCAAAGTTACATCCTTTTTCCACATTCAATCAATCTGTATGCCGAGTAAATCACTGGAGAAGAGTCATCAACAGTCTACATTGTATAGATGACACAACTTTCCTTGCAAACGTGAAGAAGACTTGAAACACTTACTGACAATCTTCAAAGACTACAGCCTTCATAGGATTACACTTCAATATCAAGAAAACAAAAATTCTTGCAACTGGACCACTAAGCAACATCATTATAGATGAAGAGAACATTCAAGTTGTCAGGGATTGTGGATTGTACTTCAATTCACACTCAACAACCATAGTGCAACAGCCATGCAATAAAAAAATGTACTGCATTGGGGAAATCTTCTGCCAATGATCTCTTTAAAATGCCAAAGAGCAAGGATGTCGGTTTAAAGACTAAGGTGCACCTGATCCAAACCATGGCATTTTCAGTTGTCGATCATGTATATGAAAGTTGGACAATGATAAGGAAGACCAAAGAAGAATCAATGTCTTTGAGTTGTGGTGTTGGTGAGTAGTATTTTATATACCAGGGACTGTCCGAAGAATAAACAAATCTGTGTTTGAGGCAATGCAACCAGGGTGCTACTTAGAGACGAGGATGGTGAAACTTCATCTCACTTACTTTGGCCAAGTTGCTGGGAGATGCTCAACCTTGGAGAGAAACATCTAACTGGGAAAGGTAGAGAGTCAGTGAAAGAGAGGAAACTCCTCATCAAGATGCATTGACACAGTGACTGCAACAATGGCCTTGAGCATAATGGAGTTCATGACAGTGGTGCAGGGGAAGGCAAGCTTCGATCTGTTGTTCATAGGGAGGGTATGAGTTTTAGCAGATTTGACAGAACCTAACAACAACATCATTTAGTGATAAAGCAGCAAACCATCTGACTTTCAATGTTTTCAGTATTTCAGCTTTACCTTTCACTAAGGTCATTTTACAATAGTTATATCTTAGCTGTTGTTGGGGAGTTCTGGTGGTTTAGTGGTAAAGACTTGTGCTGCCAATCCAAAGCATGTGATTTGAGTCCACCAGCTGCCCAAAGAAGCAAGACAAACTACTCCTTGTGATTGCCTCTGAAAACCTGTTGGAGGGTCAGCTATGCATCTGGTTCTACTCAACAGTACATAACAACAGTAATGGTAGGTGGTGGTAGCCCCTGAGTCAGCTTAAGTTGATTGTTGCAGACAGTACTATATATTTTGTTATAATCTATAGTTTTCTACACTTTATTCTTACTTGGTCCACTCAATGCATTCACATTGTTTCCTGATCATCCCCATGTTGTACAGATTTTCATTGGCTCCTTAGAGACAGGAGTGGTGAAACTCATTGAGTCAGGAGTTGCACAGCTAATGGAAAGGGAGGCAATTTGAGTCTACCAATTGCTCATGTGTGAAGTAGTTGGATTCTGGAAGATGGTTTCTCTTGTCCTGGTGAGGATCGAGTGTGGACTGTTTGGTTGTTTGGGTGTGCTTTTTTTTTCATTCACAATCAGGTGTGAACTGATCTGATTTGCCAGATTTAGCTAACAATGAGCTGTTGGCTGAAAGCCTCATGGTTTAGAGTCAACCAGGACCTGGTGGGCAGGCCTTGTATTTAAAAGGTGGGAGGGCCTTAGGACCTGTGGCCCTCTGGCCTGGTGTGTTTGGAATGAACATTTTCTTAAGCGGTATAGCGCTGGTCTATCAATTTGCTGTACTGAAGTAACTTGGGATTGCCGTGATGCTGAACACTGTGTCTCTGGTGTGTCAAACACTATGGTTACCCAGCATGGACACTGTTTGGTGGAACTCCCAGATTAATTCAGGTTTGAGAGCAGGAGTGGTATTCACTTCCTAAACCACATGTCTCTGGAAACTATGGACATAGAGAAACAACAGTAGTTATAATACAAGGTTCAGGTCTTTTGTTCATAGGGTCTCTACGAGTCGTGCTTGACTTGACAACAACAAGTGCTCTCCAGAGAAAGATGAGCAAACCAAACTCTTTCCTTGCAATTTACAGCCTCTGAAAACCCTCAGGAGGGTCATCTATGAACTTGATAACATATAAAGATAATAACAATGGTTTTTATCAAAAAACTTTTCTTCCTTGTCTGTTATAATCTGGAAATACTGAAGCTTGTCTGCTCTAGGTGACCATACAGGTATTGGAAATACATAACTTCTAAGATCATAGCGACACACCAGCAGCCACAAACTGACAGAGTATCTTAATTGTATCAGTGCAATTTATAAAGGAAAATAATGAAACGAAGAAACATTAACGTGCTTAACAAACGATAGTAGCTAAGTTCTAAGTTCCACAGATAGACCCTCCATACCCTCTGAAATCTGTATTTGTGTGAGCAAAGCACTGATGAGTCTGGGATTGTTAGCTTCAGGAACTGACTTGAAAGTTTTCCAGTTGAAGAGTGACATCTTGTGGTGTTATCCACTATTACAAAAGAAAGGTTTTCTATTTCTGCAGTTATAAGTACTGAAACTTCAGAGACCTTAGTTTGCTGTCATTGATACCAAAGGAAAAAACAATAAGGGGTTACAAATGTCCTATGCCATGTCAGAAAGTACAAGCTCTTTTTTTAAGAAAATGTGAGTTTTTTATATATATATTTAATAAGGATGACCAAAGAAGAATCTATACCTTTTAATTGCTAAGAAAGGACAAAGAGAGGAAGATTCTTACAAGATGGTTTGACACAGTGAGTGTAACAATTGGGTCAAGCACGTTGGAGATTGTAAGGATGGTTCAGGATTGGTCAGGGTTTCAGTCTATTGTTCACAGGGCTGTTAAGGAGTTGTGG